GGGTTGGCAGGGTTTTTTTCCCTTTCAGTTTCAAACCATGAACCTACTTGCACTCACAAGTGTTGCTTTTCTCTTTGTAGCCTCTGACTTTTTTGAGCCTAGGAAATGCATATCTGGCTCTGAACAACATAAGTGGAGCCCTACAAGCCTTCAGGCACGCGCTGGATTTGAAGACAAAGTGTCTGGAGTGCGAAAGCAGCCTGAAGTTGATCCGCTGTTTGCAGTTTTACCCTTTTCTGTACAACATCACCTCTTCTGTATGCAGTGGTAAGCAACAGCTGAAAGGTGGACCTCAAGTGAAATAATGTCCCTTCGCCTTCATGTCCCACCTGAAATGCATGATTACTATGCTCTTTTTCCAAGGATCCTCCTTGCTTTATAGTGCTTTCTCCCCATAGAGACCAAGATTGAGGCAATTCTCATAAGGGTGAAGTTATGCTCCGTTAATAAGTGCTAGAGGAAGATGTCTTAAATGGTTGGAGGGCTGCCACTGAGCGCAGCTTCCTTGGAGCATGCCCATAATACCTTAACAGCCTCACCCATATCTTTTAGTGGTGAATGAGGAGTGACAGTTTTGGTGTTTTATGGAAGCGCATGGTTGCTGCTGCCAGGCTACTCAGCAGCCCCTGTATGCTTCCCTTCAGATTTCACAAATGGGCATGTTTGTTTTCTTAAAGCTGAAGAATTTAATAAAGATCAGCTGTAGTTTGAATTCTTAACCTTTTCAGTGATTTCAGGGCTTTTTTGGAGCTCAGTTTTTATGGAATAGACTATATTTCATCAACATTGTTTTGCTTATATGGGGTCTGTGATCACTCTTCTTAACTCTAAAAATCTATGAGGAAATGGACTTTACTCATCCTCTTCCAGTTAAAAAGTTATTTTCCAGTTAAAAAGTTATTTTCCAGTTATTTAAAAATATTTATGGATATAATGTTTTGTAGCCCTTTGGGGTTATTTGAATAAAAACTGGAAGAGTAATAAAAAACTTAGAGTTCTATCATTTAATGTCCAAATTAATACATTTGAATGAAATATGGAAAAAAATACAGCTTTTTGAGACAGTTTTGGTTTTGTTTCCCTGGGTCCCCACTGAATATTTCAACTATCTTGTCTGTCCTTATCTGTAAATATGGCTAATATTCTGCTCCCAAGCAATCTTGAAGAACATTTAGGTACCTTTGGGAATTCAGTCAGTTATATTTATTATGGCTATGACAACAGTAGTGCTGTAGTACTAGGTATGCCTCCATATCTTGCACCAACAAACTGTAAGTCCCTTATTCCCAAATAACTGGGGAAACAGTTAGAGGACTTTGTTATGGGAAAATCCTGTGTTGGTCCTTCCTTCTAGAGGTGACTTGCTAGTAGTGACAAATGTGTTGCTATTGTTCAGATCAACTAATATTGCTGGTAAGTGAGTTTCTGAAGCATGTTAAGTAGCAAAAACTTAACTGCATGTAGATTTGTCTGACATATCTAAGCAATCCTATTTGGTGCACAAGTAACAGGAGCAAAGAGACCTCATATAACAGGGTTAAAATTAATGGGAAAAAATATGGTAAACTCCTAGAACTGCAGAAATGAAATACTTGGCCTTTGTGCTGCTCATCAAGGGAGCAGAGAAAGCTAACAGAATTTTAATCTGATCTTGAAATGCTACCTTGCAGGGTTGATATTATACATTTTTACTACACAAGTAATTGTCAGTGACTTTTATCGTGTAGTTCACTTCAGAGAGGAATATTCAACTAGTGCCTGAAGTATTGTTCCCGGACCACTTCGGTTGACCTGGACATTCAGATATTTGTCAGTTAAAGTAAAAAATCCAGTGCAGTAGACACTTTTTAGTGCTGTGGTTAGCTGACTGCTGATGAATATGCTGCTGGAGCGTGCTGTTGCATAGGACTTTTCTTATCTGTGCGCAAATAAAAGTGCAATTTAGACAGGCAGAACTCTCTTGTACCTGAAATATTTTTCTCCAACTGTACGTATCTTCCTCTGACTGATGATACCAATTCTTTATGAGCTCATATCCTTCATATTCTTGCAGACGAGATCAAAATCCAAAATGTCAAACTTGAATTAATTGATTGAAGGAATTCAAAACATGAAACATAACCTGTTTTAATCTTTGAGTGTCTCATGACCTTATGGTTATTTGGCAGAGCAGTGCTTTTACAGAAAAAAAACATGCTGCTCTGTTGCAAGCAGAGGCAGTGTGAGTACACTATGAATGTACTTTCATACTTCCAAATCTCTGACCACTTATATAGTGAGTATGTGTGTTGGCAAAAGCAATGTGCGTTTCCTTGCATTGTGGCTTTGCTCTGTGATGTATCTTTGCACAGAGATAGTTTAATGATTGACTTGAAAAAGGCTTTTAGTGCCCTCTTGTGGTACAAATACTGTGTACCATATGAAATCTAATCTTGGAGTAGATATACTTACTCTTACAATAAAACATCAGGAAAAGGTGAATACTGAAGTGAATGCGTTTTCTTTTGTCATTCCCTATCACTAATATGTTTACAAAGATAGTAAGTTAAGACTTTTAAGAAAATTGACTTGAAGAGAGAAAGGAGAATCTGTGCTGGAAACTCTTGATAATAACTTAAGGATAGATTAAAGAAATTGGTTAAATCAACATACAGTTAAACCTCTGACACTTTACTTGATAGTTTCAATCTCTTTTAATGTCATATAGCTAACCAAAAGCACTGCATACACCAGAGCAAACATTTTGTTTACAACAGTATGTGTTAAAACGCAGAGATAGGAAATACTTGGGCTCATAGCTTTAAGGGGGTTTCACTTACTCGGTGATCCTGATGAACTATGGCTGGTTCCATAGTTGCTGGTGAGGAGCTGCTGGATGTTGTTTCCATTTGCTGTAGTATAAGGTCCTTCTCCTACTAGCATTTTAGTTTCCCCCTTATCAAAGGACTGTATCTCCAAGGAATACTCATCGTTTACAGTGTTAATAGGTGGAAAGAGGGTTTTTTTTTACTCTTGAGTGGAGGCTGTTGAATTTAGCAGAGTTTAATCTTGTTTTAGGTGGGGAAAAGGCCAGAATCTGTATCAGTTATATGGGATTCTAAACTGAATAGCACTACATGTTTAAAAATCATTTTTTTCCTCATTCGACTGTCTTCTCGAGTAAAGACGGAATTCTAGAGTGCGCATGAGTCTTGCTTGGACTACCAGGAACGTTAGCACCGTTATTTATCTTGAGTACCTTCGTGACCCCGTTTGGGTTTGCAGTCATTCATTCTTGTTAGGTTCTTTTTCCCTTTGCTTTAGAGGAAGGCTAAGCTGTATAAAAGGAGTAGTGAACCAGAGCAGGGGTTTTAAACAAGCAGGACTGTATCGAGCGTGTGAACTGTTCCTCAAAGCTTGCAGAAACGCATCATGGCAAAGCTTTGCATGTTGTCATCTACTAACCAGACAGTAGCACGACTAAAGTGTGTTCTGCCTTAAGTAGTAGCAATTATGAAATCACTACTCTCATTCCAAGTGATATGTTCAGGTGGTTATTCTTGCTCCCTCTGCTGTCTACCCTGCAAGTTTCACCTGGGATCTGAAAATCAAGCTGGATTCTCTCTCCCTCAGGCATCCCTGGCAGCAGGGCTCATGCAGTGTCAGTCCTACTGAAAGCTCTGTTCATGCTGCACAAGCAGAATCTGGGTCACCTTGTTTAAGGTGTGTTGCTCTCTGCAGTGCCAAAGGAGAATGAGGAGGCTGCGTCTTATTCAATGCAGGCAGTGGGGAGATGCAGAGGGTGAGGACTGCTTTTTCTCTTGCTGAACTTGGACCTCCCTGGGCAGTGGAGGTGTCTGAAACCTCTGGAGACACCTCTGGAGCTCATAGAGGAGTGTTGTGAGAGTGTGTGCTTGATGGGAGGCGGGTTGACCCGTTTGCTCTTTCAGCTTTGTGCTATAGTGTCAGCACTACTAGCCCTGGGAGAGAAGAAGCAGTTCCTACCATCTTGCTCTGCTGCAGTAACCATGACATCTCTGCAGTAGTTCAGGCTCTGATCTGGGGGTAGTTGACTACATCCTTGTCACAGAATAACACTCTTGATCTGGTGCCTGCTATGTTAATCAAATCTTTCCATGAAAAATCTTTGTCTAGTGTCGCTTGTGTTGCTGTAGGCAGCTGAAAGTGCAGAACCTTGCAGAACCTTAACTTGCCCCAATAGGAAAGTAAAAAGCCATTCTGAGATCACTTTGAAAGATGTCTTCCTTTTTTCACCTTCCATGTATTTTTTGCACTGAAAACTGTGTAGCAGTGTCTAGATTTAGAGATTCTTACATTCAAGAATGTGCTTCAGTGTTGTAGAGGCTTTACAGCCCACTGTTTATACACATACCTTTCAAGCTTCTGCAGCAACTGTTATACCTCTCAGAGTTTTCTGTAACTGGCAGACAAAACATGCTGTTTTAAGAACAACTATTACTCAAAGGTCATTTTTTTTTTGTATTTGAGCATGCTCATGGCATGAGTAAATTTTCTTTGCAGCCTGTTCTGATGCTAACATTAGGTGATTTCTTTATATTATGTGAAGTCTGTCTTGCTACCTTTATATGCTTACATCCTGCTTATTTACAGCATGACAGGACAATTTCCCATTGTTTATCTGCCATAAACTAGTGCAAATGGTTCTTCATGATACATTAGCTGGAACATTCAGTTACTTGAAGAGGATATACATGCTTGTGTAATAAGAGGAGGATCATGATGGTTAGACTGGAAGAAAAAGCCGATACCTTCAGTCATCAGATGTATTAGCATTTTTCTGCAGTATTTTTTGGTGTTTTCTGTAATAGGAAGATGGGAGAGAGAGACATGCTTTCTGCTGATTTGGTTTTTATCTCTTTTTAGGAGGCTGCTTTTGCCAGTGATTATTTCCTACATTAAGTTACTAAAATTTCTTGCTGAATCCAAATTGTGTGCACTGCTAAGAGCTGGATCTTTTCAGAAAGGCCAAAAGGCTGCATGAGTTCAATAGCCTTTTTCCAGGAATTAATAGTTTCCCAACTGCATCCCTAGAAAGATGTAATTGCATAAACAACTTCTTAGTAGAGTTGAGCAGATGGAATTGGTGACTTACTGAAAGAGAAGAACATGGAAGAGAGGAACATGTGGCCATGAATGATAGAACTGCTGATGCATAGTTTAGTCTCATTAACAACTTTCCAGCATCTTGAAAGCTGTATTCACTTGGCTTAAATTTGAGAACTTGTAAAGTGGTGATGTGTAGCCTC